ACCGCTGCAGCGCCGGGCGCCGCCGCCAGGGGGAGCAGCGCGCACGGTCCCCGCGCGGGGAGGCCCGCAGCTGTGAGGAAGGCGCGCTGGCCGGAGAGGACTACACTAGGGGGCAGTAATCCCCTGCGAGAGGAGCTGGGTGCCCTGAACAGGGTGCGCAAGAGGAACGTGGGCAAGGCTTTACTGTACAAGAAAAGAGTAACACTGTGTTAAATCCAGGCTTCTCCCCCAATACATTTTGAACTTTGTACCGTGTAAATATATTACATTTTCAAACCAAAACCAGACCCCAAACGCTTTAATAAAAACATTCTGGATGAAAACATACTCAAGTTATCTCATAGTCTCGGGACTACATTGTTCCTGTTCATTTCAACACTGGCGGGCGCTGGTCGGGCCTCCACTGTCAAGCCGGTCCAGTCTAGTAGCAGCAGGATGTGAAACAACGATTGGCTGAGTGTGTCAAGTGTTGAAATGAAGAGGTTCTCGGGACGGGAGGGGGGCACAGACGGGAGATCGGGTAAGTGGCCGTGGCTGTGAAGCAGAGGATAGAGGCCGAGTTGCTGGCACAACAGCGCAGTCCCAAGGGAAGAGGAGTTGACCAGTGGAAGGGAGGACATCTCGGCCAAGAAACCCTGGGTGGCTCAGTCGTTAAGCGTCTGCCTTCGGCTCGGGTCATGATCCCAGAGTCCTGGGATCGAGTCCCGCATCGGACTCCCTGCTCTGCGTGGAGCCTGCTTCTTCCTCTCCCACTCCCCCTGCTTGTATTCCCTCTCTCGCTGTGTCTCTCTGTCAAATAAATAAAATCTTAAAAAAAAAAGAAAACAACTTAAAGGCCTGGGTCAGGATGGGCAATGAATCCTGGGTAAAAGAGCCACAGGTGTAACCTTGAAAACTGCAACCAAGAGGGGGTAGGCAGAAAGGGAGCTAGACAGTGAGAGAAGGGGGAGGCACAGGGAAGAGTAGAGGCCCCAGCCAGCAAGGGGATTATTTGAAGGACAGTGCAAGAGTCTGCAGAGGCGGAGAGGAAAATGCCCTCAGGACTGGGTAGCTGGGAGGTCTCTGTTACCCAGGCCGGTCTCTGCATAAGAGGGGTGGGGGCAGGAACTGCGCTTCTTGGAGGCAAAGGAAGCATTGGAGCTTAAAGGGTGCAGTTTTCTGACTGGGGGGAATATTTGAACATGTTAATATGTCAAGGAGCCGCCAAGGAGGACACAAAGGGGTCCTGTGGATGGAGGAATGGCAACAAGGTTTCTTGGAGGCCAGTGAAAAGAAGACCAAGGGACGCAGGACAGGAGGCCAGAGGCTGTGTGGCTGAGCAGGTTCCTGATCTCAACTGGCCAATGCTTAGTGAGCCTGTAAGAAACTGGAGAGGCCCAAAGGGAGGCTGAAGTGAGCTTTCCCCAGGGCAGAAAGGACATGTCCCAATCCTCCCCTGCAGGAGACAAGCCTCTTCAAGCCAGTGGTGTCACTGTACCCTTGTGACTTCACACAGGGTCTCCCAACTTCTCAGTTAATCCAGAAACAAATGCTTTCAAATGTATTTCCCTGAGATGTAAACCTGGTAAGTATTTCTTGGGTTGACCGTGCTTTTGTGCTATTTAGTATTAGGCCACTTATTCTGCATTTTTTTCTCCACTATCCTCTTGCTCCAGAGTTCCATTAACCCAGTGCTTTTTACTGGGCGAGGTACTCTTATTTCACAGGTGTATAGCTTAGGTTACTCAATGCCATAGAAGAAATACTGGGCATATTCCTGGAGCATAATTTTTACACCAAGATTATTCGGAAAGGTATCTTAAGATAAAAAACAATAGAGTGTATGTAAGCATTTTAAGTATTTGAGGTTTTTGAGATGGCTTGTATAGGTGTCCTGTCTCTTCCAGGATAACGGGTTCCATATAGCTTCACCCGTGGGAGACCTGCACACCTTTTTGCTTGTTGGAATATCATCTATCCAACCTCTTTTCCTCTTTCCTTATCCAGCTCAGTTTAGATCTTAGGGCCAGTCTTTGAATTAGTCTTGTCTCCTTCCTTCTGATCTTTCCCCTTCCAGTCCCATTCTCTACATGATGCTATTACTTTTATAGGAGTGTGAATCTAATTATATCATTCTCTTTAAAAATGTCAAATAACCCACAACCACTTAAGTGTAATTTCCACCTACTTCTTTTCTTTTTTTTTACACGATAGAAGTTTATTAAGCAAGGATACAGAAAAAGCTCTCAGGAGAGGGGTCCTGACAGGGTTGCCCTCTGCCTATTCCTTTACCTGAGCTCCACTCGTGTTCAAAATGTCCCAGCAGTCCTCATCAGCTTACAGAAGCCCTTGGTTATGCTCCTTTCTCTCATACTTTCAGGATTTTACACTGTTCCCTCTGCCTTGAATGCCCTTTCCACAACCCTCATCTACTAGCCTGGAGACTGCTCCTTTAAGATTCAATTCTAGCACTATCTAGTCTCTTCCGGGGAAGTTATCCTAATTTCTTCCCTACCCATATGCTTCTGTTTGCTATTAAGGAAACCATGCATACCTCACTTACTAGATTATGAACCTTCAGTGGGTGAGCAGTGCTTATGGTTACTGTTGAAACCCTGTGCTTATATAAAACACGTATTAGTTGAGGTTGAAACATGCTCCAAGTCTCTTTCTAGGAGCCAGGAAACTGAAATATGTAACTCAAGTGTGTCTTCAGGTCAAAATCTAGGTTCATAGTTTATTAATAAGCAGCAACAAAACTGAAACTCTCCAACTCAAATGCATAGTGTGAGCTCTAAAACTTCATCAATGTATCGGATTTTAGGAATTCAGTCCTATCTAATCTATGCTAGAATACAGGATAAAAGAAAAGTGAATTTTCAAGTTTTATTTTCTATGTGTCAACATTCATAATACAGACTTTAATCTGATAAAGTCTGACCCCAATCAGACTGTTGATTATTTCAATTTGTAACTGATTAAATCAGAGGAAAAAAAATTTAATTTCGAATATATGCCACCAAAAATAAATATTCACTTAATGCAGTCTTATCTGTTTTATATCAAAAGATTTTTCCTCCCCAAATAAAGATTCTAAGATAAATTTAAGATTCCTTTGAATGAAAAAAAAAAAATACACCTTCTAAAAGAGCTTACAAAACAATGCAGGGGATTGCTAGGCACACTTACTGTAAGAGGAAAGTATGTTCAATGAAAAGGAAATTGAAAACATGACCTTAAACTTTTATGAGAATTTAACAAGGCCTTTACTTCATTTACCTTTAGCTATTCCATAAATACCGGAAGAGAAATTGGACACTTTGTTATGAAACTTAGAAAAATTTCTTTTTTCCATAAAGCAAACTTATAAATCCCTTTGGCTCCTTCTTCCAATCCTCCTTCACTGTGCTGAAGAGCTATTGAGTTCTTCCAGATTTTTGGTTAGGCAGGTGGTTTCTAAGCTGACTGGGCTTTCCAGGTAGGTAGTTCCTGCACAGGGTTTTCCAGTCACTGGATCTATAACTTGTCCAACTTTGAAAATGATCTCGGCCAGTTCATGTTTCACATGCTTTGTTCGTGGAACAGGTAGAGCTTTGAGAAGCACAATATCCCCAACTGTGCACTGCTGAAGAGCATCGTGAGCAAAGTAGGTTTTACGCTTATTAAAATACTGTTGAAAGAAGGAGGAACAAATCAGTAGTTCCCATCTGTGATCTGACAATACTGTATAGAATATGAAAGAGTAGTGCACAGAAAACAAGCTGGGACTTGGGGAAAAAAGATAATATACTTAGGAGGCTTCTAATACAAAAATTAGCTGCTTAATTTCTGGAAAACAGTATATTCTAGAGTGGATCATGTCCCTGAGCTCTCCAGCCTATCTGTCTACCTTGTCTGTCCTACCTTGTCTGTCAATCATCCTCCTTTACCCATATTTAAACTCTTCCTTCCTAGGGGAGCCTTCTCTCCAGCCTATAAACATGCTACTTTCACTTCTAGTTCTGGGACAAGTCACTTAATCATTCCCCATCATAAGCTCAGTTTTTTTTTCCCCAACATAAAATGAGACTCCAATATCTGCATCTCTAAAGTTAACCAGAGAATCAAATGTTATAATATACATAAAACACTTAGCTCCATGGGTGGCTCGAAGTACTGCAAACAAGCCACAGATGGTCATAAACAACCTTGCTACAGAAGGTATTCTCATTCTACATATGAGAAAACAGGCTCTGGAGTAAGGTAATGGGCACAGCTAGTAAATAATAGTCAATATTCAAGCTAAGGTCTTCTGACTCTCAGGCCAATGATCATGCTGCCACTCTTCAGCTTGCTCCTGTGTTGTTGTTAATAAAAGACCACTTTAGGGCGCCTGGGTGGCTCAGTCGTTAAGCGTCTGCCTTCGGCTCAGGTCATGAGCCCAGGGTCCTGGGATCGACTCCCACATCGGGCTCCCAGCGCGGCAGGAAGCCTGCTTCTCCCTTTCCCACTCCCCCTGCTTGTGTTCCTGCTCTCGCTATCTCTCTGTCAAATAAATAAATAAAATCTTTAAAATAAATAAATAAATAAATAAAAGACCACTTTATTTTGCTCCTTAACCCACCTGGTGCCCCCTTCCCTCAACTCTGTCACCTCTGGGGGCACCTGGGTGGTTCAGTCAGTTAAGTGTCTGCTTTTGACTTGGGTCATGATCTGGATCGAGTCCCGCTTCGGGCTCCCTGCTCAGCAGGGAGCCTGCTTTTCTCTGCCCCTCCCCCTGCTTGGGCTCTCTCTCTCTCTCAAAAATAAGTAAAATCTTTAAAAAAACAAAAAAAAACCCCAAAAAACCCTGTCACCTCTGCTCCTGTGTTTTTGATCCTAGATAGCAAAGAGCATTTCTACCTTCCTGTATGCCCAACCTTGAATGCAGAGCCATCCCTGCACTTTCCTCTTCCTTCCTTGCACATCTAACAAATCAAGGACTCTGACTCTTCTTTCTGAAATCTACTTTTCCCACTCCATTCCCACTGCTCCAAGGACTATTCAGGTCCTTATATCCAGTTCTAGACTTCTGCAATAGTCTTCTTACCCACTTCCTTACCTCCAGTTCTCACCCTATGTCTCCAACTCTGCCTTCCTTTGCTTATAGGAAGAAATCCAAAAATACCACATCCAAGACCACTCTCAGTCCAGCTCCCAGTGTTCCTGCATTCACTCAGCAACAGTCAATGCCTACTTAGGGTCAAGCTCTGGGCTCGACCTTGCCAAACCACTTGTTCCTGCACAGTGTCATGCCCTTTAATGGCTAAAAGAGCTTCCATAAACCACTCACCATGGCCAGAATGACCCTCCCAAACCCATCCTTTGGATAAAAGCCTGAGATTCAGCCCAAATGAGTCTTAACTGAGGATGCTCTCCTTCAGCCATGTGGGAATAAACAGGTGTCCTGCTCTCTGCTCCCAGTACTTTGCACATAGAATGACTATAGCAGTTATCAGCTGAGTTGAAATTAACTCTATGTGTCCCCAGAATTTGAGAATGAACCATGATCAATTCACTTTGTTATACCCACAGATCAGCGCAGTGGCTGGTTCACAGCAGATGCTCAGTGCATCTGTACTAACAGGGAACTGTTTCTCTGCTTAGAACCCATAACATGATGTGACTTATCAATGCCATGTGAAAAAGGGACATCCCTCACCTTTAATAAATAGGGATCCAAAACAAGCCTGGTCACTCTCACTTTAGCTGTTTTTTGCATTGCTGTTCCAATCACCTTCCCCACGATCCATTTGGCATGGACGGATGAACGAACTACGGACATTATGTGGCTTCGGTCACCTGAAAGACAAATTTCGAAGTGTAATTTGCTGGTTGTTACGACTCACCAAATGAATTCTGTTACTAGACCTGCTGAAGTTCAGAAACAGTTTTTGTTGGCCTTCCAGAATCACCACTCTAGAGATGCTTACACGTTTCACTATTTCCTTAGCCCAACCTTTCACCTTCATACTGTTTACGGAGCTGTCGTTTTAACCTAAGCCTCTATTTCCCCCTGTGCAAAACGGGAATAAGAACAGGATCTACTCACAGGAGTGCTTTCAGGGTTTAACCTAGAAGGCGCTCAATAGCGCTAATAAACGTGGGTCTTTACTGGTGTCCCTTACTTCTTTCCTTCCGCTGGGCGAGCCTGTCCCTGAAGGCTCCAGCCCCGCTACTCGCGCGCTCACGGCCTAGGCGGAACGGCCGGGGGCGTCCTCCTCACCGGAGGACACCTTCACCTGGGACTGCTTTCTCGATCAGTCAATGCTGAGTCCATCCGGCCGGACCTGGGGTAGGATCGGATCACTGACCCTCCCGCCCCGCACTACCCCGGGATCAGGCCCCTCGCCTCGCCGCCAGGTTCTCACGGGGGTGGCGTCTCGCTCGTCCGAATTCAGCCCCGGCAACTGCAGGGCTCGACCCGCGCCCACCTTCCGGCTCTGTTTTCCCGGCGCGTGTAGTCCGGATGGGCGGCCGGAGCGTGACGACGTCACGTCCTTACAAGGCGCTGCGCCCGGGACGGCTCCTCTCATTGGCCGCGTGTCCCATCAGCGGAGGGTAAAGGCATGACTCCGCCCACTCCCCCTTAAAGGGAACCGCGGACCGTGGGTAAACGCGAGACTTGTACCTGCCCTTTTTCCACGCGCGGAGCCGCTGGAGCGTGGAGGATTCTGGCCTTTCATTGAACTATTCCATTCGGTTTCCTCTTCTTCCGCCGAGCTCCCAGGCTTGGACAAGGCCTTGCAAATCAGAGGAACCTCATTCATTCATCAAACACGGAAACATCGGACACTGCTCAATGATGAGACTTAAGCATTCTACGCGCACAGCTCCTTTAAAGATAAACTTCTGTAGGTTTTTGTGCCCAATTTGATTTTAGGTGTTATTTCTCAATATCTACGAGACAGAGAGAAGTCCAGCGTTGGCACATATTTATGTGTGACAGTTATGAAGGAGTTCGATGGGCCGTGAGCAGGCTGCTTGATGGCGCCTTCTCAGAGGGAGGACTGGGAATGTATTAGGAAATTAAGAGAAACAGAAAACAATAGGCTACTGGCATAGACAATTTGAGGGCCCAAATATGGGTATAGTGCATTGTCTTTAATCATTGAAACATCTTAGCAACTGGTGAGGGAAGACTGGGAAAATAAGAATTCTCCCACACAGTCTGTCCAACACTCATTTCTCTCTTAGCAAACAGGTATAGAACACTTCTTAGACTCTGTGCTAGGCAAAAAATGAATCAAAGGAGACTCCCTCTCTCAAAAAGGCCACAGCCTAGTAGGGACAGGTGAGTAAAGAAATAAGTGTAAAACAACTGTAGGTAATGTGAACCTTGAGAAAGGAATGCATACTTTTGCGGAGAGGAGACTTGATCAATACATAGCCCTTGACCAGGGGCTATATGGCTTGAGAGGAGAGGGACGTGGGATGTGGGAAGGGCATTTGAGGCATAAAGGAGAGCATGTGCAGGGGTGCTGGGTTGTGAGAGACAGTAAGATGAGCAGGAGGCTGATACTGCCAGGATATACGGTCAGGAAAAGAATGGCAGGGATCTAAGTTGGTCAGAGATAGGCCTCTACCTAGGAAGCATTTATTGTTAAGGGCCTGTCCTCACTTTTTGTTCTAAATGATGAGAAGCCTTTGAGAGATATGAATAGTTTTGCTAGCCTTCAACATCATTGTGGTAGGAGTGTGAAGGAGAGAACAGAGGTTGGAGAGATTTGGAGGCTAGATGCTTTGTCAGCGGATGGTGAAAACCTAAACTGGAGCAGCGGGAATGAAAGAAAGAAAGTGGGTTGGAGAAGTGATTGGGAAATTGGCCGTGTGAGGCAAGGGGACAGAGAGGTGGTAAGAGTTCGTGTAAGTATGGCATAAACAACAGAAAATTTATTTTCTCATGGTTCTGGAGGCTAGAAATCTGAGATCAAGGAGCTGTCAGGGTCAGTTTCTGGTGAGGGCTCTTTTCCTAGCTTGCAGATGATCACTTTCATGCTATGTCCTCACGTGGCCTTTCCTCTGTCTATGTGTGCACAGGGAGAGAGAGCGCAGACAGACTGGTGTCTTCTTTTTCTTTTACGAGAACTCTAATCTTACTGGATTAGGCCCACCCTTATGACCTCATTTATTTATTTATTTTAATTTTAAAAAAGATTTTATTTATTTATTTGACAGAGGGACACACAAGCTGGGGGAGCGGAAGAGGCGGGCTCCCCACTGAGCAGGGAGGCCGATGTGGGCTTCGATCCGAGGACCCTGGGATCATGACCTGGACTGAAGGCAGACGCTTAACCAACTGAGTCACCCAGGTGCCCCTGACCTCATTTAATCTTAAATACCTTCTAAAGGTCTTGTCTTCAAATACCATCACATCGGGGGTTAGGGCTTCAACATCCATATGAGTTTTGGAGGGGGGGACGACACAATTCAGTCCATAACAATATAATCAAAGAAGCAAAGTAAAACCCTTGCAATCTTAAATTCGATTTGGAAATACAGTATGAACTCATGATTTATTTTCCTCAAAAAAAGTTTTTCCTAGAAAGCCTACAAACCCAGTATCAATCAGTTCCAAGCACCCAGATTGTGGTATTTATATACCATTTTTCTCTAAAAGGAACAAAGGATCCTTGAAAAATCACTGACTTCAGGTCTGGAGCAGGAAGTGTGTGAGTTAAACTTGGGACATCTTGTGTCAGAAATCAAGAGAGCTATTAAAGGTGAATGGGGTCAGGTCAAAAGTCAACCTGAAGGAGTTCCCACTGAACTAAGATGAAATTATGTGAGGCTAAAGAGAATTATAACTGCAATGGATTGAAAACCATAAAATATATGAAAATCCATGAGTTCATAATGGTACCTAAAAGTAAAGCCCCTAAAAATGGGTAGCTCGGTCGGCTGGGCATCTGCCTTTGGCTCAGGTCATGATCCCAGGGTCCTGGAATTGAGTCCTACGTCGGGCTTCTTGTTCAGCAGGGAGCCTGCTTCTCCCTCTCCCTCTGCCTACTCATTCCCTGCTTGCTCTCTCTCTCTCTCTGTCAAATAAATAAATAAAATCTTTAAAAAAAAAAAAAA